GGTGCAGAGCCAGTGGTGGTTTTGTAGGCAAACATTAATGCTTTGAATATTATGCGAGCAGCTCTGGTAGTCAGTGCAAACTGATGAACAGAGGTGTGATGTGTGTTCTTTTCGGCTCATTAAAGATTAATCTTGCAGCTGCATTTTGGATTAATTGTAGAGGTTTGATAGAACTGGCTGGAAGACCTGCCAAGAGAGCATTGCAATAGTCCAGCCTGGACAGAACAAGAGCTTGAACAAGGAGTTGCGTTGCATGTTCTGAAAGAAAGAGCCTGATCTACCTAATGTTGTACAAAGCAAATCTGCAGGACCGGGCAGTTTTAGGTATGGCTAATAAATAAAATAAACTGCACTGTATGAAGACCAGATGGTATGATGAGGTTTGTCAAAGGCAGTATTGTCTTTAATATTTCAATAACAAATAAGTTGGCAGACAAGCACTGTCAAATGTTCATTTCATACACAGTAACTAATTTTTGTAATTTGAACAGTATTTTACTGTAATATGTACAGTAAGATACTGTGAAATGTGTGTACTGTAATTTACTGTAAACAACAAAGCATTATGGGAAAATATATGGTCACTACTGCAAACTAACATTATTCATCGTGTCGTTTTTCATGTCGAGAGTTGGAGCCTTTTTTCTGACTGTTGGCCGGAATGCTGCCATTACGGTGATAACATCGTCTGGTGAGTAAGTTAAGGTCACCAATATTAGTCGAAATAAACTTTAGTTTAGTTTATTACCGAGAAACAAGTTTGTATGTTCCACCACCCTTTAATGCGAGTTAGCTAATCTGGCTAACTGGCTAATAAAAAAATTTATTTATTAAATAAATCTATTTAACCTTAACAGCGAACTAACGTGAAATACTAAGGTAAAGTGCGTTAGGCAACACTGTTGAAGTGGAGATTTTAAACAGTATTTTCAAGTACTTCTTTTGTTTATTTTCAAGTTTGTAGTCTGAATGTCGTCTGCAATGTCGGCGGTGTATTTTGGAGCCTCTTCAAGTACTTCTTTTGTTTATTTTCAAGTTTGTAGTCTGAATGTCTGCAATGTCAGCGGTGTATTTTGGAGCCTCTTTTTCTGAATGCCATTGTATCGATGATAACATCAACTGGTAAGTTAATGTCAGTTAGTCGAAGTTAACTAGTTGAAAACAGAGAAGCATAATAACTTTTCTACACTGCCTCTTTATCACAAGTAAGGTAATTCTCTTCAAATGCTATTTAAGTCAGAAATTGTGTACCAATGTCGTATGTAACTTTAGAGACGGTCCCTAAATTCAGTGACAGACGTAACATAAAACAGCGAGCTAACATGAAATACTGAAGAAAACTGAGTTAAAGAAGCACTATGTAACTTTTTCTGTATTCAAAATTTGCAAAATGTATATAATGAGTACATCATGAATTCATCTTTTAAACCACGTTTCTGTCTTATTCCGAATCACTACGGTACACTTATAATAAGTACTTATATTTGGACTATTGTAGCCTGATCAGGTCGTCACCGCTGCGGAGTAACACATACCTGCGTGAATCGCCATAGACATAAACTTAGAGAAGTAGCTCTGGTTGGAATGTTCTTCCGCGGGATGTGTGCAGTTCTGTTTATTAACCGCTAGAGCGACAAAAGTTACATAGTGCTGCTTTAAGAAACACAGCTGTAAAGTACATCTTTTGTATTTTATTTTCAAGTTTGTGGTCTTGTGGTCATGTCAGTTGGAGTCTTTTCTTGTGATTGCTGTCGAAACAGTGCTAACAACAGGTGAGCTTCCATCAACTACTAAATTAACCAAATTAGGCATTGGCTGCTGTTCCCTACTAACTCACAGAACGGCTTGACTTTTTAAAGAGAGGAACAGGTTAGCAATATATTAATATAGCAAGTTCTGCAGAAATGCAGAATTAGGTAAACCAAAATGCATTTTGTTTTACATTGTATTTACATTCATGCATTTGCCAGATGCTTTTATCCAAAGCAACTTGTTGAATTGCATTTAAAGTACACATTTTATTGAGTTATCCATAGCCTGGGAATCAAACCCATTATTTCAGCTATCTAGCACTTTGCTCTACTGATTGAGTAAAAAATGCATTGTAAAAAAAAAAAAAGGATCTTTAATGATTTTAATGTGATTGATTATCAATTAGCCTAATTATGTACCTTCCTTGTAGGTGTGTTCAGATGTAACCTATATAAAGTTTTTATTAACATCAAAGTGCATACAGCACCAGATGGAATTCTTGAAAGAGGGTGCAAAGTATAAGCATCAGCCTGAATAAAAATACAGTAATAATACTGTAAAGAATTTGAAAAATGTACAGCAATCTCTTCACAGTGTAATATACAAGTATGAAATAGAGATAGCATTAACAAAGTCCTGATCTCATACCACATAT